TTGAACTGACCATTGCGTCTCTGTGCCCTAATGTGGCATGACAATCTGAACTTATGTACGTACGTATGCACGCAGTTCTACGTTGTAACTGACCGACTGACTGACTGACTGACTAGATGATACATACTGACAAGTGATTTTTCGATACACTGAGTGCATTAAAAAGTTCATTTTCTTTTATATAACAAATAGCAAAATTATAATGCAGATTGTTTGTAATAAATAAACAGGTTGTTATTAACACTGAAAAAACAAACAAGATAAAACAAGAGAAAACCAAATATAGTCCAGAGGTTTAGGCGTTCGCACGCGCAAGACCCAATGTTCTGGGTTCGAATCCTGCACGGTATAGGAGTCATGGATGCGCACAGCCACTGCTGATGAGTAGCCCCATACATCAGGACAAAACAACCGTCATTCATTGCTTTCAGGTTTCTAATAACGATGGTCTAACACTGGTCGATTCATGATTTCAATGAGAAAGATGTCATGATTCAATCAATATATAGATAGATAGATAGACTCATCTTTCCTGGATGATAGAATTTCAGAATTTGAAACCAAAAAACCAAAGAATTATGAAATTGTATAATCCAAAAACAAAACAAAAAAACTTACAATATAAATATCATCATCATCATAAACATCCATAGTTGAAGCATCAACTTTCAGAGTGTGAGAATAACGTTCCATATTCACAACATAATACTTTTCCAATACATCTTCATAAGCATTTAAAAAGTCATCAGTCAGATTGCGTGCATTTATTTCCCAAGGCTGTTAGAAAAATAATGTTTGAATATAAACACATTTCTGTAGTAGATTATATATATATATATTACATAGAATTCGGATAAAATAATCTCTTACAAATCATCAATAATACTAATTCAAGTCACTGTGTGGTGCGCACTACTTATAAGTAGTATATGACGCGAGTGTCAACGTAATGTCTGACAGCAGTAGATGGGGGGGGGGAAGATCAACAAAGGAAGGAAGAGTGGGAACACAATGGAATTTGTATGAAACGCATGAACAACAGTGAAGTGTCAGACAATGGATTGATGATGGATTGAACATATGCAAATTAACGATGTATATGATATGGTTTTCCTATTTTACTGAGTAACTCTGTAATGTTCGTTAGATACAATTCGGTTGCCCTCATCTGTGTTCTCCTTCACTACAACTGCACTATACGAAAGTGTTACAATCAAATCAGTTAGAAAGTATGTTTTTTTTCCCTTAGGTGAATTAAACTATTACTCCATAAATTGTTTGGGATTGAAGTGATATGTTAATTTGGCTACTCTTAGCATTGTATTTTTTCCCTCTCGCTATTTGAGTATTCACTGTGTACATATAACAATCAATCAATTAATCAACAGCAACGTAGAACTTCGTACGTACGTAAGTAAATCAGTTCATGTTGCCATACTACATTAGCACAGAGATGTAATTGTCGATTCAAACCCAATAGTAGAAGAGGTAGTAAAAGTATTAGAAGTAATAAAAGAGGTTAGGATTAAAAGATATTATTCAAGAAGTATGATTCAACGAGATAAGTTTAGAAAGTCAAAACTAGGGGTGTTGAAGAATCCAGAAGATTAGGATTTGAGAGAACACAAAGAATAAATGTACCTGCACCATTGCAAACGGTTATGAGCCATGTCATTCAAGGTATCTAACCATCGAGTATTATCATCTCGTGGACCCCAACCAGGTAGTCTACATCTACCAACATGACTCAGTCCAGCATTGCTTACTCAGTTGTCCCATGATACACGAGCAATGCTTCGGAGACACTTATGGTCAAAAACCAGTAACCTACAAATATCTTCTTCTCTAACTGACCATGTTTCACAGCCGTAAAGTAGGACGGAGCGAACTACTGCTCTGTACACTCGTCCTTTGGTTAGCAACGGATATTTCGCCTGCGCCATAAGTGACGAAGGTTGGCAAAAGCCAATCGAGCTTTTTGTATCCATGATGGGATTTCGTCACACACCAAGCCATCAACACTGATGAGACTCCCGAGATAAGTAGGGCGGTCAACATGCTCAACTGCTTCATTCCATATCACTAGTTCAGGTGCTGATACAAACCAAACCTTAAGCAACATATATGTAACGCGTATTAGGAGTTAGTAAAAACGAACTCTATTTTCAAAACTTTGCAATATTGTCTTCACTCAGTTAGTTAGTTAGCCAGTAGTCAACTTAGAGCCTAGGACAAATGTGAATTAGCTAAAGTTGTCATACCAAATTAGAACGATAGGATAAACAGTAAATAAGATGCAATAACCTAGTAATCGGTGATTAGAAAGACTTAGCATTGAGAGCTCGGTTTAAGATGAAATGAAAAGATATATATATATATATGTATATATATCAAGGAATGATAGATAATCGTAGATCAAAGTTTCAAGCTAGTTGACAATCGCCCACATAGTGTACTTGTAATATTGAAGGAGCTGACCACCCTGTTTGGACTACATCCCATGCTACGCAGCTTTATATCACTTTAGTGATGGTTTTACCACGCTTTGCAAATATTTCAAAGGTATGCATGATTTGAATACTGTGATTTATACAACGATATATTAGGATGAAGTAAGAAGATTGCTATATACAACACATTTATAACGTGAAATGTTGTTGTAGAAGTGAACAGTTAGATGAAGTAGACAGATTTGACTATGCAACAAGGCAATGTTAACTAACACTCTTAAATGAAGTGAACTTAATGCAATTTTGAATGAAGTTGGTTTTCACTAAATGACTAGCAAAGTAAACTGGTTAACACTTTGTGGGTGATTATACAAAAGTGCATATTTACAGACACTTTTTTTTATAAATAGTTAGTTTTTTTCGATGTGTTGAATATTTCTGTTTTCTTGAAATTGCGTTCAGCATATCATTCACTAGTTCCTTATGTATATGGACATTTTGGATTGTTTTATTATGATCCTAGTTATGTCGATGACATAGTTCTACTTCGTAAAGAGGCTAACAAAATTCAGAGTCTTCTGACTATCCTAAGCAGCAATGCACGTATGTTCAGGATGCGGTTTTCCACCTCGAAATGTAAAATGTTGCTTCCGCATTGGCCTGTATCAGAACCTGAACTAGTGATGGGGAGTGAAGCAGTTGAGCATGTTGACCGCTCTACTTATCCCGGGAGTCTCATCAGTGCTGATGGCTTGATGACTGACGAAATCTCAGCATGAATACAAAAAGCTCGATTGGCTTTTGCCAACCTTCGTCACTTATGGCGTAGGCAAGATATCCGTTTGCTAACCAAAGGACGAGTGTACTGAGCAGTAGTTCACACCGCCCCCACTTTACGGCTGTGAAACATGGCCAGTTAGAGAAGAAGATATTCGTAGGTTACTGGTTTTCGACCATAGGTGCCTCTGAAGCATTGCTCGTGTATCATGGGACAACTGAGTAAGCAATGCTGTTGTAAGGAAACTGGTACTAGGTAAGAATGGCAGGTCAATAGATGAAGTATTGAAACTTCATCAGTTGAGGTGGTCGGGATGTGTTATGTATGCCTAACCACCGATTGCCTTGTCGAACTATGTTTTTTGGTGTAGGAATAGGTTGGAAGAAAGTTAGGGGTGGCCAGACCAAAACACTGCACAAATCCATGAAGTCACTGACAAATGGACTGAGTTATGTTGGTAGGTGTCGACCACCTTGGTAGGGGTCCGCGAGACGAAAGTCACCAATGGTTAGAGACCTTGAACGGCATGGCTCAAAACCGTTTGCAATGGTGCAGGTGCATTTATTCTTTGTGTCCTCTCAAATCTTAAACTTCTTAATTTCTCATCACTTTAATAATATATTTGAACCTTAATTTCTCCGATTACTGATAATACTTTTACTACCACAACTACTATGGAATTTGAAGTGACAATTATGTCTCTGTGTGCTAATGTGGTATGGCAACGTGAACTGATTTACGTACGTACGTACGTACGAAGTTCTACGTTGTAACTGACTGAATACTAACAGTAAATATTACGACAGTGTTTTCAGATAAGTGATAATCAGAATTAAATTTTACTAGTAAAACGAAAGAGACCAGTTTAAAACGCATCAGATAAAGTTTGAGATATATATTAACCTAAATACACGATTTAGTTTAACTAAACTGGATATAGTGAATCTCTGAACGACTATTTACCACAATCCAGGACATATAGATAACGAATACACATTTAACAAATAAAGTGTTATTTGTAATCAGTTGAGTCTAAAAACAATTATATTCAATGCACGAACCTCCCGACCGTAGCTGCTACCTTGACGTGGTGGTCGGGCTTGCCTATCGTGATGACCCAACCGAGCTATATTGGCTGAAACACATGTTCCTGAAGGTTCTACCATGCCAGGCAGGTCGATTGGAGAACGATGAGAATAAAAGCAGCTACTCAAGGTCTGAGGGTGAAGTCGTACTGCTGACTGCAGAGGGGTGTGACAGCAGTAAGGTGTTTCCCTCGGACAACCAGCATCTGCAGCGATGCTGCCTTCTCACAAGGAAGGAAGGGTTAGAAAAGGTCGGCCCTAAAAATGTCACACCTCCCCTAACTCACGGATTTCCGTCTCCTTGGGTAAGGGTGCCCACTAAGGGCCTTTAAGAACGGAGCTAATCCTCAAAATACCTTTCATAAAAAAACCGTGCGTGACCGGCCTCAAGCAGTTGTCTGTGGGGCTCTGTGGTCACGCACCCAGGTCACTAAGACCAACACTAATCTACCTTCCTTTTCAGGTACCTCAAGAAACAACCTTCCACGGTGTGGGCAGCCGGGAAGTGACAAACGCCCTCATACCCCTAACAGCTGAATGCACGAACCTTGAGTCTACTTAAAGCAAAATAAAGCTTAAAACTAAATAAAATTGAGATCAAATTAATCAGACAAATTGAAAACCATACTGAAAATTTAGCATATATGTATAAGATCAGAGCCAACCATATTAATATTCCATTTACAAGTTAGTGTAAGTCATAAGTGGGACGAGACAGTAAAGCAGGTAATACAAATAAGAAGAGTAGATAGAGTAGCATCGTTCTCATGTCCATATATCTTTAAACACTATCGATTGTCCATCAGTCGTTCAACTTATCATTACTCTATCAGAATAGCGAGACGATATTATCGGCAAATCCTCTAGTAAAAGGAGTGGCAATACTAATGGTAGCAAAAAAGATTAGATATCTAGGATATGATTTGAAAAAAGATAAATCCTAAATGGTCACATTCTCTTTATCCACATTCAATTGGCAAGTTTCACAAAGTAAAGATTTAAGGTGTGTTATAATTCTCAGCATATCACTATATATTGTTCCGTGCATGCTAAGGGCAGTAAGTGATATGAAAATGAATTCGCCTGAATTTCAGCCAACAAATTATAAATTTGGATCTTTTTAAAAGTTTTTTTATTGCATTAACTGAATAATATCGCTAATTTTGATACAAACACATGTTTAACAGTTGTCAGTGACTTACTTTACCTTCATATAGGAATTTAAGTGGTTAAGTTCAGATAAGATTTAATCAACAGAGGGATTTCTGGTTTATAGCAAGTGTTTGGCGAATTTTATACAAAAGAAAGTAGTAATTGGTAGTATTGAGAGAAAAAGCGTTCATGCTTTAGATAATACTATGTATAGTTATTTCCAAATCAAGCATTTTTTTCTGAAATTCATTAGTTAGATATTCGGGTGAGTCGTTTATAACAGGGTGACTGGCAACTAGTTCTCAGAACTTACACTACCACTCACCGCACTAAACGTCCACACTACAAACCTGGGAATATGCCCAGTAAGGATAGAAACAAATCTTTGTATCATTAGTCTCCATGACTTGCGGATCACGCTTACTGTGTACGGCTAAATTGGAATAACATAAGTAGATAAGAAAGAAATTGTGCTATATTCCTTATCCTTTCTAACTGTTGACAATAACTATCATGTCAAGACATCAAAATCTACACACTAATAACAAAAGGAGGAAGTTACTGCGTGTAACAACGGTGTTTAGTAGTAAACACTTTATTTTATAAAAAAAGTTCTATCATATTATATACTAAACTAACGAATGAGAGTCAGTACGATAAGAGATAGTGACACAGACTTACGATATTACGTTTTTTTATTCTTTCACGTATTTGTTTGATAGGAGCCTTGATGTAGACTAGTATGTGCGGTTTCCAGAGGTTTGTTATAGTCTTTGCATGGTTCTGTTTGAACCATAATAATCCTATGTTTTTTTCAAAAATATCAACAAAAATTTACCTCGTTCTGACAAATAATTGCACTTAAACATAGCATCTGCGAATGTAAACTCTGAAAATGGACTTCGGTCAATCACAACTCCCTGACCTGAAGGATAAAAAGTTATATATTTGGAGTTTACCTGTATTAAATAAATGGCATAATGCTCTCAAGTAATTCCAATAACGTCTTAAGTAAAAGTGGTACTGAAGATATAATCCTTTTCCTTTGTTTATAAGATCCGGTTCATTCCAAAACATTTCACATGTGTAGTATTTCGCATAGTCAGGAAGCAGAAAGTTATGACACCGAAGATCAAAATTTGGCTCGACAATTTTAGAAATATATATGTCATCTTCCGTTGGATCAGGGAAATACGCCATATCGAAATGTTTAGCCAACTTAGCAGCAACATTAGATTTCCCGGAGGCAATATTACCTTCAACTATTATTACTCTGCTATTATCATTGAATCGATCACCAGTTTTAAGACTATCTAACATGTATCTTAGGAAATTATTCCCTTTGCTATAGTAATCATAACTAGGTGGTTTGGGACGTTTCATACCGCCATCTGTCACAAGCCTTAGAGTGCTTATAGGACATCCTTTCAATATTCTGCTGCTCCTCTGCAACAGACCTGAAGCTATGCAGGTCATCTACAAACAGTACTGCACAACCTTGGTTATTAGATCACACCTAGGTCAACAGTGTCCAATATCCAATATGCTTGTCTGCCGTCTTTAGAAGCAATGATAAGTAGTTTATAGATCTATACTGATTCTTTCATTTCATGCCCAATATTTAATATCTTTTTCATTAGCTGGTATAAAGCAATTGATTTCTTTGCGCTCCATTCTTCTACCGTCAGTTCGATTCCAGGTACCTGGCAGTGTCCAATGGATTGTGGTCTAGCCACTCGACTGCATTAATTCTAGTCATTTGGCAGTTATTTATGAGTTTGAATGTCCCGTAATCTGAATGAGTACCTTTGTTTCAGGGCAGTAGGGTTTCTGGATATCAGCAGCTATCACATTACCAAGCCGAAGATAAGTTAGTCTCAGTGTAGGAAATGATAAGTAGAAGATTCTCATACTAAGAAGAAGAAGATTTCAGAGCTAAGTAATGAGGGAATAAACAAGTTAATTAATCGTTAGTGAGAACTCTGCTAGAGGACCCAAGTTTAAGCGAAAGAAAGGAAACAGAGGTAATAAGCGAGATGACGTTAGTGATCTGAGGAAATGGCAATGACAACAACCAGCAAATATCAAGACATGCATCAGACACAGTCGGTCAGAGTGGGAGGTTACAATCCATATGTGAGTTTAAGTATCTTCTTCAAGCTATCTACTGAAGGGCCTGTGTTCTTCCGGTCGGGAGAGCATTATAAGTCACGACAACTCATAATGATATAATGTGTGTAAAGTGCTGGGTTTTCGCTCTTTGATGTGCAATTTTTCGAGGATTACCTCGAGAGGCGTGATTGTGATGCATCGGTAAGACGCTTATCTTGAGATGTTTCGGCGTACTTAATATGATGTACGCTAAGAACAGATCACCTGTGATTCTCCTGCAACTCAGAGAGAATAATCCTAAGTGCTACTATCTGTCTTCGAACGGTTTGTTCTTCAACTGTATCACCCGTTTAGTTGATGTCCCTGCACTCGATCCAGGAAATGTATGTCTCTTTTAAGGAGTGTGGGTGAGACAATGTTATTTACCTCAAAGTATGTGTGCGCGTTTGTTTCAGTGTTAAGCATAATTGTGAGCTGATTTCACCAAGTTGTTTTCGCATAGAGCGAGGAGTTGCGTTTGTCTTTACTGTGTCCCCTATTGTTACGGGAGAAATGAAGACATTTGGATGATTAAAACCTTTAAATAAATATCGTTAATTTCATTGTTTTTTGGGTGTATTTGTTTTACTTAACTTATGAACTTGTTTGATTTATTATTTTCGGCCATTTTGAATTCCCTTTGTCTTGGTATCGGTCATTTGGAGTTTTTGCTCTAGGAACCTATAACTGTTTACAGGTTCTCGAATCAATTCATCCAGAAGAGAGAGCAGAAACCGTAAAAGAGATCGACTTTGAGAGACTTCCTACGGAACGCACATTGGGATTATTTTGGAATGCTATGGTTGATGCGTTTGAATTTAAAGTTCGCATACCGAAATGCCCTCTCATTAGGCGGGGTATAGTGTCGAGTGTAGCTTCATTATACGACCCCTTGGGATTGTTAGCACCATTCATACTTCCTATGAAGCAGTTACTTCAGCGTTTAAGTAAATTGGGACTAGGATGGGACGAAGAGATTCCAAGTGAGGAAAGCAAACGCTGGTTAGAGATTTTAAGTGAATTTCAGAGGGTTGAGAACGTTAGATTTCCACGCGGTATATTATTTCCACAATCAGATCGCTCGCTCCTGGAACTTCATATTTTCTATGACACCTTGGAAATTGGATATGGGGCAGCGGTATACGTCCGTTCTTACATCCATGACACTGAAATATGGTCTCGTCTTATTACGGCTAAGGCAAGAGTAACCCCCTTAAAGATTCAAACTATACCCCGCTTGGAACTTACGGCAGCAGTGTTAGCAGCGCGTATGCGGTCCGGGCTGCAGTCCGAGTTAGATATTAAGTTTGCAGAAGTTATGTTTTGGACGTATCCATGATTGTCTTACACTATGTTAGAAATGAGAAAAGCCAGATTAAAATATTCATAGATTTATGTTTTGTACTTGATGTAACGCTAAACCACTGTACTAATGACACCCGAACGTTAGACCCCTCCGTTCAAAAATAAGAAGACGGAAGACGTTGGAGAACACTTCTTATCAGAATCAAAAATGTACAATCAAACGTGCGTATTTATACAATTATATGTCGTTTAAATATTTTGAACATTCATCATGAACATTGGTCAAATAGTTCATCATGAACATTGGTCAAATAGTTCATCATGAACATTAATCAAATAGTTCATCAATCCACAATGTGCGTGGCTTTCTTCTCGATTGGCTATCCCAACGCATAGCAAACTGGATTTCAACTATCCACAGTCTTTCAAAGGTGGACCAATCGAGATTCGTACCTTCTAAGGAAAACATAGGAGACTTTTCATCCAGATGAGCCAAGTTCAACAATGATGATGTCAATGTATGGGCGGAGGGACCACATTTTTTGAAGAAGTCAAAGGAGTGTTGTCCTAATGTGGATGTACAAGGTCATGAACCCCATTTCTTGGAATTAAAGAAGGTAATGTCCACTCATGTAATGGTTGGAGAATCCACTGTTGATCTACTTATTAATTATTATTCAGATTGGACTAGATTACTCAAGGCTGTTGCATGGTTGATCCGATTTAAGCGATATTTATTAATGATGTATTCTGGCAGAAATGATCTGTCTCTACAGGTGAGTATGCTCAGAGTTGATGAGCTAGATTTAGCTTGTTTAGATTTAATTCGATATGTCCAAAGCATAGTACTTCGGAAAAAGATTGAAATTTTGTCGTCTGATACCATTAGCAAAGTGAAAATAACAAATTCACCCTTACGAACCATAAATCCAATAATTATAGACGGATTAATGTGTATTGGTGGCCGACTTCAAATTAGTTCCTGGTCCGAGTCTAGGAAGCATCCTATAATATTACCACCGAAGCATACAATTACAGATTTGATTCTACGGTATTACCATGTTTTGGAGGGACATGTCGGAGCTACACAGGTAATGGCAACGGTCCGAGAAAGATTTTGGGTGCTGAAGGGTGGTGTAGCCATGAGAAGAGTGATAAAGGATTGTGTTTATTGTAAAAGGAGGAACGCCCATCCAATTCATCAACTAATGGCACCATTACCTACGATCAGGATAGAAGGTGGTGACTATCCGTTCTTATCAGTTGGAGTAGATTATTTTGGACCCCTTATGGTTGAACATGGTAGAAATACTGAGAAGCGGTACGGTTGTGTATTCACTTGTTTAAGGTTGAGAGCTGTGCATCTGGAGGTGGCATATATACATAAATGACATATGTAATACTATAAAATTTGGAAGAGCATACTTATATGCTGATGATCTGAAAATAGTATACAGCTATAAGCCTGAAGATCTGGACGAAAATATAGCTAAGATTCAGAGTGATCTTGATAACTTAAGTACCTGGAGCGAGATATGGCAACTGCCGTTTAACCACAACAAATGTGCCATAATGCATTTTAGCAAGCGTCACCTTGATTCACCAGTCTATTTACAAAAATGTAGAGTTCAGACACTCATATCAGCGCGTGACCTTGGTATTAGTTACTCTAAAAGCCTAAAATTCGAAGAACATGCCTCAAATATTATCTCTAAATCTAGACGACTCATCGGGTTCATAAACAAGAACTTCTTCACAAGTGAGGCTAAGCTTACTCTCTTCAAAATCTGTATAAGGCCCACACTTGAGTATTGTTCACTCATATTTTCAAACATGAATATCATGGACAAAATGCGAGTAGAAAATGTACAAAGAAGCTTCACCCGGCGACTACTCGGATTGAGCAATAACCTCGACTACACAGAAAGATGCAAGCATCTTTCCCTAGAACCTCTATGGCGCCGTCGTCTCAAAAACAACCTAATGCTCCTCTATAAACTGATAAATGGTCTTTCGTTCGTGAAATACCGCCCAACTATGAACCAAGGCACTGCTTACAGACTTAGAAACAACGCATATACACTATTAACGGCAAAACACAAAAAATCATTGCGTTCTAATTACTTTGTAATACGATACAGTCTACTGTGGAACAGGTTACCAATCGCTATTCGTATCTGTGACACAATCACTAAGTTCAAGAAACTAGTCATGTTGTTGCTAGATTCTAAAGAGATTTATCGACTATTCCCAGAACTCACACAAAGTCCCCAGGCACTCTTTTATGGTCCACCAAATATTTAGATAAACCTCAGAAACTAATTATAGACTATGACCATATTGTGTTCTCATTACCACCCATTCATGCATCATGAAATGGTAGACAAATCCCCCTGCTCCTACTAACAGCAATAGGTTACGCCTTTGAGGTGTTAACCGTGACTTTTCTCTGCTTTTAAATTCCAATCATTATTTTCATATCTTCACAGCAGTTTTAGTTTTTATTTCTAGTAGACAGACAAATTGACAAGCCTGTAGATGCTGATCAACTACTGTCAATTACAAGGAACTCAAACACCATGTATAATTGTGAGTATCTTCTTATTTACGTATTAACAGTTTAACTTATTTTTATTTCCCCAATTCATTAACATGCAAACACCTTGCCTGCTTACCAACTTATCGCTTTACTCATTAATTTTTAACATTATTTCAACTCTTTTTTTTCACTTTCTCCTCGTTCCAGCTCCCTGTCCTTCCTATTTCCAAACTACCCATTAACTGACTCATCTTACAAATTATACCATTCGTTTACTTAAAATCAGTGTGATATGCTATGTGGATATATTATCTGGCAAAGTTGTCTGGATTGCTTGTAATGTTGGAGCTAGTAGAGAATGTTAATTCCAATAAGGTGTACAAAAAAAAATTGAGAGTAGACTAGAGACCATTATTTACAATTAACCATTAAACGTAAGAGATCCTCGCATCACAAAAGGAGGGAGGGTGGTGTATCTGACCAGCATTCATGACGGTGGGGCGATAACCTCAATCTACCCATGTCTGTGTGGCAGAAC